TTATAACGGATTTCTAAGCCTATTTCATGGGCTGCAGTTTTCAATCGGCGGGAAGGATCCGCCTCGTCATTCTTGACCGAAACAAAAAACCAAAAAAGGATTAAATTATTATATATTCTTCTTCTCGATGAACTATGAAAAAAGGCAGAAAATAGTATGAAATTCAATGTATATAAAACCATACCTCAAAATTCAATAACTTCATTTCTTTCTTTCCCTTCTAAAAGAAATCACAAAAAGACGCTGTTTTAGAACATTCTAATTCAGGACACTCCCTTAATGAATGATCAAGTTTTTTTAAATAGTGTTGCGCCTATATCATTCCCAATCTCCTTCCACGAGACTGTGAAATACGTTCCTGTTCCTGGATCATCTGACGCAGTGTCATCAATAACCTCTTATATGACTACACTGAACCGTTATTAGTGTTGCGAACATATAAATCTGAGTGCATAGATTAATAGTTATTAACGTTGTGCAAATAATTCATTCGGGAGTTTTCCATCCTTTTTTCTTGCTTTTTCTATAAATAGTAAATTAATTAATATTACACACATGAGGAAGCACTCATTGCAATTTGTTTTGAGAATTTTCTATTTTATAGCTACATATAGTAAACTAGAATTACATAATAGAATGGATATTCCACTCGCGATAATCCGGTTACATTAAATGAATAAGTTTTTACTCTTTTTCAGCGCTCCTTATTATTAGAGTGTTTGTGATCGAAAATACTACTAAGATATGTTGTTTACTAATTATCAGTATTTTTTAAAAGGGATGGTTTCCATTTTTAAACGATTTCATCAAATAATTTCATATTGTATAAAAAAGGATATAACAAACACGAAGATAGTAGCCCGCTGGGGGTAGCCACACACATGATAATCAAACAGCCAAACGATTCTACCAAATGTCCGAATCGGATAAATTGTGAATGTAAACAACTGAATAAAAAAAAGACAAAATATTGTATAAAAAGGGAAGTAAAAGAAATGTTGTTATAGAACATTTGAATAACACAGTTTGAGGATTTGTTAGCAGAAATACATAATATTTCTGTAAATTATCACACCTTTAATTTGTTTGAAACTGATTAATGCTATAAGATATACATAAGTAACAATATTCAATTTATCTTTTTAAAACTAATAATATGAATGTTCGTTACTGTAGTTTTCATTTTAAATATCTAACATAATTTCGTTATTGCTCAGTATGGTTAGTACAGTTAAGATTTTTATTAAATAAAATGTCCTTTGGCTGTTAAGAAATAAATGAGAAATAAATAATGATTTCAACGGCTTCTCTTTTTATTTTAGTATTTCATTCAATTTAAAGTCAAAATTAAATTTAAATTCAAGTTTTTAAAATTAGATTGATATCTTTTTCCCTAATACGTCTTTCTTTCAGCTTTTTTTTTTAAGTACTAATCCAATAAATATGTATGTTCTAGAATTATTAACTTCAGGAACCATAAGATACTCATACGGAATCACTCATACCGTACATCACTCGGGACCGAACGACACCCTCGTATAATCGGCGCACCGCGACTCCCACCACTCCGATGTTCGGCAGCAGGCTGCACAAGGCGTCGGTAGCTGCCGACACCTTCGGAATCAGGGAGTCGAAGAGCGGCTCGAACGTCCACTGGCTGTCGATAACGAGACCCAGGTATTTCATCCGCGATCCCACCCCGACGATTTCGCCTGCCATGCTTATGCTCAGACCGGGCGAAGGAGTCCCTTGCCTGTTCTTGTCGTAGAACCAGATGGCCTCCGACTTCGCAGGGAAGACCCTCAGGTCCAGTCCGCGCACAGCACGAATTGCGCAGGTCGTTGCGACTTCGCCAATGCACGTCTTGTGCCACTCGCAACCTCTGACCAAGACCAGAGTGTCGTCCGCGTAGCACACTATGGCCACGACCGGAGGCAGCAGGCAGCGCAGTACCTCGTCGTACGCGATGGTCCCAACACCGAGACCTGCAAGACGCCGCGCTCGACGGTCCGCCTTTCCTCCCCCTCCCTGCTGGCGTAGTATACCCACCTGTCGTCGAGGTAGGCGCGG